GACCAGTGTCCAAATCCTGTCCTTGTCCCCTGTCTATAGAATCCCACAGTGACCACTGTCCAAATCCTGTCCTCGTCTCGTCTATACAATCCTACGGTGACCAGTGTCCAAATCCTGTCCTCGTCCCATGTATAGAATCCCATGTCACCATCCAGACCTATCCTTGTCTCATGTTCTAGTGAATCTCACATCGTCCCCCGTCCATGCCCTATTTTTGCTGCTGTGAACAGAAGCCCCTGGTGACAGTGCTCAGGCCGTGCCCTCATTCCTGCCCTTCTGAATCTCTCACTGTAGCTGTGCAGTGGTTTACACTGTCAGATGTGACAGCGGCATGCTTCACCTGTGACTGAGCCACCCTTGAGTGATGCTGACCAGATGGTGCTGCTGGCCACATGCAGCAGATCCTACGGGGTGTCATAAGGGACACTCACACCTCTCCCCAGGTCTGACACCTGTCAATCACAACTGGGTCTCTGGAAAAAAAAATATCAGTGAGTACAGGAACAAAATGAAACAGAAGACCTCATATACCAGTAGGTCTCAGAGAGGATATTGTGGCCTCTTCAAAGAGGTCCCCTCTCCTGGAACTTCTGTTCTCTCTTTCCTCCCCAGAGGTTGGGCTGGCCCCGAATTCCACCCCCTTAATGACATGGTGGGTGTTTCTGGGTCCACTCCCATCTTGAAGCCATTGAGGAAGCACCGGGAGTCACTTCATTGTACAACCAGGGTGTCGTAAGCCTTCGTGAAATTGCAGGAGTTTTAGAAGCTCCTGCTTGCTTCAGAACCAGGAGCAAAGAGCAGATATTCTCTTTGCCATGTCCCCTCAAGTTTTCTGGGAGTTAGGCTGTAGTCAATACAGCAAGATAAACGGCACATGTACGTTGGAAGATTTAATGATTTATGGCACCTGTGACCATTGGGCACTTTGGAATCACAAGTTTGTGGCTGAGGACCACCTGTGATCGTTACTTCCCCACCACCGGCCCCACCCGGCCCCACAATGTTTCCTTGGCTTCTTGAAGTCCTGCAGAAGTTCAGGCAGCTGTCTCAAAACCAGAGGACAGAGCCCCATCCCCATGGGCAGATGGGCGTGAGAAAGGCAAACCCCACGGTCTTCACAGACCCAGCAGACAGTGGGAGGCACAGCGTGCTTCTCAGCACCGCAGCTATCCTGACGCAGGGTATCTCAAGGTCACATCAAGGATGCCCGTCATCTCACAGCTCTTAGACCAGAGCTGCTGCTGCAGTTTCTGGTCATAGGTGATGGGGAGGGACCTGATCTCTGTCTCGTTGTATAGGTAACGGCCTCCAACTCCTTCCAGCTCTGGGGTGACTGCTGCGTAGACAGAGGTCTGTGCTCCTTCATCGGGGGTCTGTGGGAAGAAGAAAAGAAGAGTAACATGAGTCAAATTTCAAATGCCCATCGACGACAGACTGGATGGGGAAAATGTGGCACATAGACACCACGGAATACTATGCAGCCATAAAAAAGGACGAGTTCATGTCCTTTGTATGGACATGGATGAACCTGGAAACCATCATTCTCAGCAAACTGACACAAGAACAGAAAACCAACCACCGCATGTTCTCACTCATAGGCGGGTGCTGAACAATGAGAACACATGGACACAGGGAGGGGAACATCACACATGGGGGTCTCTTGGGGGGGCTATGGGAGGGACGGCACAGGGTGGGGAGGTTGGGGACAGATAACATGGGGAGAAATGCCAGATATAGGTGATGGGGGGATGGAGGCAGCAAACCACCTTGCTATGTGTATACCTATGCAACAATCCTGCATAATCTGCACATGTACCCCAGAATCTAAAAGAAAAAAAGAAAAAAAAGAAAAAAAAATTTTTTTGAGCAGGAAGCAGGATTCTCAGGACTCCCGGGACGCTTCAGGGAGAGGTGGAATATACTCATGAGCTGCACGGAGAAACGTGCAGAGAAAGTGAGGTTGGGTAATGTCTCTGAGCCCCAGCTTCTCTGCTGCTGGGTTTCTTTGGAACGGGCACTGGGAATAACACTCCCCAGTGCTTTGCATTTCAATGATGGGTGAATCCGTCTCACGAGGCACACGCATGTGCAAACCCGATGTACGTCTTTAACTCACCCGCGCTTTATCGGACCGAAGTGCTTATTAATTGACTAGAAGCAGATGAGTGAGCACGTTGCCTCTATATCTAATAAACAACATTTAGTGATTAGATGAAACTTCCTGACATCAAAAAAGATTCTTGTTTTCCATTCAGCGAGGTATGCCACAACGGAGAACTGAGGCGTTTGTGGTCTGTGATCATACACTTCATGGAAAACAGACGGTTCAAAAAGGAACTTGAGAGGCAGAACATGTTGCAAAGACTGGGGATTTTACCCTCAGGGCAGGAGATAATCTTGGAACACACCACAGCCCGGTTTTCTGTAGTGGGGGTTGGCCTTTGATCGTGGTTAGTGGGATGGAAGAAATGGGGGACTCTCGGAGGAGTTAGAAGTGCTGGAATCTGACAGCTTTCACCGTTACAATACAGCAGTCCAGAAACCAACATGGCCCCCTCTTAACACCTTACTGTCATGATGAAGATGTTTCAGGAGCCTATCACTTTTAATCAGCTTCTGGGAATCTCGTCAACGTATCCATCATGGGAGAACAGAGACAGAAGTCACCATCTGTGAACCAGGAGGCACGTCCCTGCCAGACACGGAAACTGCCATGCCTTGAACTCCCAGCCTGCAGACCTGTGAACCATCAATGTGTGCTGTCTGCAGGCTGCCCAGGCCATGGTGTTTTGTGATGGCAACGCAAGCAGACTAAGACATTTGAAGTCCAGAGTTTATCCTGGGGTCTCATTGCATAGGTGTGATTGATTAAGTTATTGCCCACATAATCAGATTCAACCTCCAGTCTCTCTTTCCTCCCTGGAGGTCAGGCTGGCCCCAAATTCCACTCCCCCAATGACATGGTTGGTGTTTCTGGTGGCCAGCCCCACCTTGAAGACATTTAGGAAGCAGCAGGAGTCACCTCATTGTATAAGCAGGGCGTTGCTAGCCTTTGTGAAATTGCAAGAGTTTTAGAAGCTCCTCCTTGTTACAGAACCACGAATAAACAGCAGATATTGCATTGGTTATGTTCCCTGGAGTTTTCTAGGAGTGACGGTCCATTTGTCCACATTGATTTCACCCCTCAGCAGTGTCCCTGGCACTGTGACGGCTCAGCCTGTAATCCCGGTCCTCTGGGAGCCCAAGGAAGGATGACTGCTTGAGTCCAGGGGTTCACAACAAGCCTGAGCAACACGGCAAAAGCTAGCACTGATGAGAGCTCGGGAACATGCCCTCCCCTAGATTACGTGCGGTGGCCTCTGAGACCCAGTGACTTCAGAAATTCTGTTGCTCTCAGTTCACTGCCTCCTGGTGTTGACTTGAGTGGCCAGCGTGGCACAGAAAGCCATAATAGAGAATGTCGTGTGCCCACCAGCCTATCCTCTGGGTTTGAAGCAATGGGAACAGGAAGGCTGGACCTCAGCAGACAGACAGAGCTACTGAACTCCTATGATTGATTCTCACTGATTCTTGCTTCTGCTCTTCTGCTGATTAAAAGGAAATGGACCAAGCTAGGTAACTTCCCATCTGGAAATCGCCTCAGGCTGCCTAGAGGTTTTCTGCATAATCCAAAGTGTCCTGGGGTATTTGGAGTCTGATACTGTTGGCTGTGTCCCCACCCAAATCTCATCTTGAATTGGAGCTCCCAAAATTCCAATGTGTCTTTTTTCTTTCTTTAGAGACGGGGTGTCAATCTGTTGCCCAGGCTGGGGTGCAGTGGCTATTCACAGGCACGATCCCACTGCTGATCAGCACGGGCGTTTTGTCAGGCTCCGTTTCCGACCTGGGCCGGTTCATCCCTCCTTAGGCAACCTCGTGGTCCCCTGCTCCCGGGAGGTCACCATATTGATGCCAAACTTAGTGTGGACACCTGATTGGCATAGCGCACTACAGCCCAGAACTCCTGGGCTCAAGCGATCCTCACACCTCAGCCTCCTGAGTAGCTGGAACTACAGGCATGTGTCACTGTGCCCGGCGATCTGATGGTTTCATAAAGGGGAGCTCCCCTTCACACACTGTCTCCTGCTGGCTGCCTTGTAACACATGCCTTTGCTCCTCCTTTGCCTTCTGCCGTAATTGTGAGGCGTCCCCAGCCATATGGAACTGTGAGTCCATTAAACCTCTTTCA